TATTAAATAAACGGCATTCCTAAAAGTGGACTGAAGTTTATTTTGTGTGTTCTGTTGGTACAAAGCCGTATAATAAGCGGGATAACGTATATCACGCAAGTCATTATCGGAAAATAAGTACCTTACATATTTGTGGAATCTAACTTCAAAGTGATGCATTAGTCTAATTATTTTTAATTCAGAGACAGTAATATCATAACATGACACATTTTTCAAAATGATATGTTTTTGAAGTAACCAACACTAAGTTAAGGGTATGATATTTACCGACGGAGAGATGGACTCGCTGGACGTCGTGTGTGTCTTTGTCCCAGATGGTCTTGCAGAGGTACTCGCCGGCGTCATGGTGCGTGAGTTCCGAGATCCTGAGGGAGAAGTTTCCCGTCAACAGCTGCTCCGTGAACAGATGCGCCCTGAACTGGAATTGCGGGTTCCTCTCCTCCACCACCTCGAAGCCCTGCCGGTACACGAACACGTACGGAGGGGACGCCAGCCCCCGCTTGGACCACTCCACCGTGGGAAGGTCGTTGTGCAGCGAGAGGTCACGGCGGGCGCTGCAGGGAAGGATGGTGAAGGAGCCAGGACCAGCGAGGGCCAGGACCTGCACCGGAGGCTCGTCAGCAGAGGACGCTCCCAGGACTGAGGAGAGAGGGAAGATTTGTGATGTTAAAGCTGGGGTATGCAACTTTCAGACCACGATATTGGAACTCTAATGTAGTCCATGTCTCCTTCTGGTGTCACTCTCTGGTCGCCCTCTCTCTGGTCTCTCTCTCTTGGGTCTCTCTCTCTCTTGGGTCTCTCTCTCTCTGGTCGCTCTCACTCTGGTCTCTTTCTCTGGTCTCCCTCTCTGGTCACACTCTCTCTGGTCTCTCTCTTTCGGGTCTCTCTCTCGCTCTCTGGTCTCTCTCACTCTGGTCTCACTCACTCTGGTCTCACTCACTCTGGTCTCACTCACTCTGGTCTCACTCACTCTGATCTCACTCTGGTCTCACTCTCTGGTGGCCCTCTCTCTCTGGTCTCTTTCTCTGGTCTCTCTCTATGGTCTCACGGTCTTTCTCTGGTCTCTCTGTTCTCTCACTGGCCTCTCTCTGGTCCCTCACTGGCCTCTCTCTGGTCCCTCACTGGCCTCTCTCTGGTCCCTCACAGGACTCCTCTCTGGTCCCTCACTGGCCTCATCCTCTGGTCCCTCTCTGGTCTCTCTCTGGTCCCTGACTGGCCTCTCTCTGGTCCCTCACTGGCCTCTCTCTGGTCCCTCACTGGCCTCTCTCTGGTCCCTCACTGGCCTCTCTCTGGTCCCTCACTGGCCTCTCTCTGGTCCCTCACTGGCCTCTCTCTGGTCCCTCTCTGGTCTCTCTCTGGTCCCTCACTGGCCTCTCTCTGGTCCCTCACTGGTCTCTCTCTGGTCCCTCACTGGTCTCTCTCTGGTCCCTCACTGGTCTCTCTCTGGTCCCTCACTGGTCTCTCTCTACTTTCTGTTCTCAGTTTGCTTCCATCACTAGTTAATAATTATAATAATAATAATGCATTGGTTTTATGTAGCACCTTCGACACTCAAAGACGCTTCACATGTCAATATTCTTTCACTCCACCACTACTGTAGCCACAGCTGCCCTGGGGCACACTGACAGAAGCGAGGCAACCAGTCTGTGCCATCAGCCCTTCCCACCACCACCAGCCATTCACACACACACCAGACATGTTCCACTGTGGTTGGAGTGTCTTGCCTAAGGACACATGCGTAGTCGTCACATGTTTCTTTGGATCAGCTTTTTCAGCCAATCAGCTGTCAGCCCATAGCGAGCAGAGGAAGTGGACAGCCCTGCCGTGTTCACAGTTGGATCCCATGTGAAGTTGCAGTCATTAACAATACACAATGTATTTGTTCTACGTTTGTTGTTAGGTTTGTTTATTGTTAAATTGGTTTGAAATGTTAAGGTTTTGCTTTGTAGCAGAAGTGCAGTACTTTTCCGTGTTCTGAGGTTTGACTATCTTGAGTCAATGTTTCAAATTACTAAAATCTACTACTACTACTACTACAGCTACTACAGTTAATACAGTTACTATTACTACTACTACTACAGCTACAGCTACAGCTACTACAGCTACTATTACTACTACTACAGCTACAGCTACTACAGGTACTATTACTACTACTACAGCTACAGCTACTACTACTACAGCTACTATTACTAGTACTACAGCTACAGCTACTACTACTACAGCTACTATTACTACTACTGCTGCTACTATCAATCAATCATCCATCCATCCATTTTCTTCCCCTTAATCCATTTCTGGGTCGGGGGGGTGGCAGTCAGAGCTGCACCCAGTCACAGAGCACCAGCCCCTCCCTGATCCTCCTGCAGGTGGTGAGTCCACAGGAGCTGAGATCTTTCAGCGGGGGCTTCAGGCAAAGTGGGGTTAAGTGTCTTGCCCAAGGACACAACGACAGCAGTCATCAATGGGAGTCGTGAAGTAGGTCTTGAGGTGGGCTTGAACCCACAACCTTCAGGCTCGAAGGCCAATGCTCTACCAACGGAGCTACTGTCGCCCCATCAATCAATCAATCAAATTGTATTTAAAAAGCGCTTTTTCATACAATTTTTTTTAACACAAATTGCTTTACAGTTTAGTTAAAAACAACCCAAGATGCCCACCGCCCACAGACCCACCCAAAACCACATTTATTAATAACTATTCACCCACATGCATACAGGCACACACACACGGCTCGCTCAGAGGAACACACACACACACACACAAAGTCACAACATAAAGGTAAAATAGGTAGAACAATGGAAAGATGCTGGGTGCAGATGCAACACTGGGGATACTAAAACAATACAATAGAAAGTAAAACATTAACATGTGAAACTAAAAAGAAAATGACAGCTACCTAATATTAATAAAAACAATAGTAAATGACAAAATAGATTTTAAAAAACCACTACTTACTACTACTGTCGCCTGTACTAAGATCGTTGCACATTACAGCACAGAAAGGAAATAAGAGCACTCAGACGCACACATCTAATTGAGTCTATTGTTTGATAATAGACAATAAAATTAAGATAAGAAGAAATTAAAATAAAATGACATAAACTCTGGGCTATAATTGCACTTGGTTTGGAAGTTTTTACAGATGTCTGTATTATACATTAGCTGCGGAGAATATGAGAATATGAGCAGAATAAACATCAGTTGTACAGTCTGACAGCAGCAGGAAGGAAAGACCTACGGAACCTCTCCTTCACACAGCGAGGGTGAATTAGTCTGTCACTGAAGCTGCTCTCCAGAGCAGAGGGAGTGTCCTGCAGGGGGCGACAGTCATGGTCCAGCATAGATGTTAGTTTGCTCAGGACCCTCCTGTCCCCCACCTGCTGCTACTACTGCTGATGCTACTACTATTACTACTACTTCTACATTTGTATGTACATATCTAAACTTTGAACAATCCTTGAAGGTGCTGTTTACTTCCATATCGACTTTTAATCTTTTTATTATCACCCTCTACACTTTCTCCACCGACTCCCACTGATGACTGCTCTCGTTGTGTCCTTGGGCAAGACACTTAACCCCACTTTGCCCAAAGCCCCTGCTGAAAGACCAAGGCTATGCTCACACTCAGAGAGCAGCCGTCCTCCTGTGGACTCACCACCTGCAGAGGGTCAGTGAGGGGCTGGTGCTATGAGACTTGGGTGGCATCTCTGACTGCCCCCCCCCTGACCCAGAAATGGATTAAAGGGTAGAAAATGGATGGATGGATGGATGGAGAGTAAGAACAGCAGGATTTTTTTATGATGTGGGTGAGAGGTGACATGAGATCATAAAAGTCTCTCTTCAGACCTCTCTTCTCTTAGAAACAGATCTGTTCTGTTCTGATCTCTCCACTTCCTTTGCTGTCCTTGCAAATCAGACAAACAGGAAGTGTGTACAAAGTGAAAAACAATGGGCCCAAAGCGGACCCCTGTGGAACCCCAGCAGTACTTTTACGTGCTGATATCATAGACCTATACAGAGTGTGACATCACCCATAGTGTTAGTCTTAGAGCAGAAGAGGCAGACATGAACAAAAGCTAGCTGGAGCCAATTCACTGTGGACATTTCTTCTGCGGCCTTAGCTTTGCACGCTAACAGTGTTGTTGCTAAGACGGTTGCTAAGGCAAGCTGGAGGCATCTGGTTGGTCAATCCTTATACATGTATGGCTCATATCTGGCTGTCCAAAGACAATATCAAAATGTTAAAACCCAGATCACAGAAATACAGCAAAAGAAATTATAAAGCCAATTTCTGACAGTAAACGGTGTGTTGCTATGGTAACTAACAGTTGATATTCTCTGGTGGAAAATTAGTTAACGGTAGAACTACTCGCATTTAAAAGTATACGTTTAAATAAGAATACATTTACAGAAAAGAACAACGTAAAGGCCCCGAAAATGTTACTAAGACAAAGAATTTACATGAAATAAGCAATTACACTTCCAAAACTAAAAGCCGTCAAATTGACTGCTCGGGCAGTTTTTAGTGTTCAAATCTGAGACAAAACTCGGCACATTAAAAAAAAGAAACAGAATCTTGGACGCTCAAGCAGCAACAATGGACTCATGATTAAAGTTTTCCATCTACTCTCTTTTTCTGTGTGAATTAGATTAGACCATAAGAACCACAATGAATGCATCAGACGGCTGTATCTGTCCATTCTCAAATTAACCAAATCAATCAATCAATCAATAATCGTCCATATTTTAACTTTAGGAAAAAATATGGAATAATAACGTCCAACAGAAAGAGTTTTGTAAATGTAAAATGCTGTGAACAAATCAGACCATAACAAGAAAGTTGTTTGACTCTTGTGAAAACTCAAAGTAGAAGCATCTGTTGTAAAGCCAGGAACTAGTGACATGGATTTGTTTCACTGAGTTCTATTGTTTTGGTTTCAGAGTCAGGAACCCCAGAAGAAATCAATCACTTTTTTCTGTTTTAGATTTTCTAAGATGTTGATTGAGATGCAGTTTAATGGTAAAAGCCCTAAAGAGGTATATTTCAGTTCCATGTTTCAGTGCAAGAAATAGCGCTACTGCAGGGCCTTTATCCTCACTGCTGTCAGACTGTACAATAAGTCACTTTAAGTCACTTGCACTAGGACTGAAAACCTGCACTACTATTGACACTGTTTCTTTAAATGCCACTTTTTATTGCACACAATATATCCTGAACAGACTGTATATATATCTTTTGCCTTTAACATGTTGCACACTTCTGTCTTTTGCACAATCTGAGTGATTCTATCCATGCCAGATGTGACGAGTACATCTATTAAAGGGTTAAAGAAGGTGAGTTAGAGTTGTGTTTGTAGCAGCGCTGCAGTACTTTTCCGTGTTGTGAGGTTAGAATACCTGAGAGAATGTTTCAAATGACCTCATGTCAGTCTTTGTTTTACTGCAGCGGAAAGTTACAAACATTTAACTGTGACGACAACAACAGAGGGAGCTTTGTGACAGGGTTTTAACTGTTAAAGGTGTAAAGAACTTCACTGGTCTGCTACTGCTGCTGCTACTGCTGCTACTGCTACTGCTGCTACTGCTGCTACTGCTGCTACTGCTACTGCTACTGCTGCTGCTACTGCTGCTGCTACTGCTGCTACTGCTGCTGCTACTGCTGCTACTGCTGCTACTGCTGCTACTGCTGCTACTGCTGCTACTGCTGCTGCTGTTGCTACTACCGCTATATTATAGTTTGTGTACGAAAAGAGCTCTGTGAGTCACTATTTGACTCTTTGGGCTGAGAGCTGATATTTGTTTCACTTTTCTGTCTGAAAAATCTGATCTAAAGACGTGACAGAGGTTAAAAACACAGCATGGAAAAACTAACAAGTACAAATTATAGAAGCAACTGTTTTAGAGCCAGGACCAGACATGGATAATATTTATAACACCGAGTGCTATTGTTGTGACATGTAGTTACCCCAACACATTCATTAAACCATCTCACAATATTCAAATAATCTCTGATATATTTTTTGTTCCATTCAAACCTGTACCAAATGTGCATCCTGTATTTTAGAACTAATTTTATAGATTAAAATTATAACTGTTAAATAAATATAACTGTTTTCGCACACCACTAACAGCATGTGCACTTGGATCGGTGACTTTACTTATCCTCAGACTATGACGTAATCTTTTATCTCATTTCACGCTTTCTTCTTCCAAACAAACGGCGGCCATATTGGTGTTACTGTGTTTATTGTTAAAGTATCAGCTGATCTCCCCACGGCACATTTGGGCGGTTCTCTGTGTGCGACATAAATAAACGTTGCGTGCCTAAAAATAGAGCTTCATGCCTCAAATAACCCTTTGAGCTCTGTCCATTGTAATCCATGAGCTATTTTTGGAAGGCTCTATTCTCCAAACACGGCCATCTTGGTATTACCATTTCTAATTTCAAGAGTATCTGCTTTCCTTGATTTCAGAAGTGTTTAGATGTAATCTGAGTTTACAGTGTGTAACGTCAGAGGTGGTTTTTGTTTACAGAAGTTCTATGTTTAGATCTGCTTTGACAGAGACGATGATGCAATATTCGAAAGAAGAACTATTTTCACTTCAAACCAACACAGGCAATGTCAAAGCTAGGTTAGCTACTGTAACTTTCAGACCACAACCACCTACTACTACTGTGTGATTTGATGATTGTATACCGCTCGTGGCTATCGCTGTCCGCTGCCTGTTGAGCAATACTTTTCTCCTCAGACAGTTCCTCAGTGTCTTTTTGGAATTTGGGGTTATTTACTAACTTGTCACGTGTGGTGAAAGAAAGGACCGAAAAGACAGGAATGCAAAATAATGATTTAATGACAAAGATAAAAAAATTATGTCCAAGGAAAAATCAAAATCCAAACTGGACACGGGAGCAAGGAACCAGGAGCAAGGAACCAGGAGCAAGGAACCAGGAGCAAGGAACCAGGAACACAGGCAAAGACAAGGGGAGAGGAGCACAGGTACAAACAGACACAGGCCATGTCCACACTTAGCCGGGTATTTTTAAACCGATTTTTCCCCCCCCTCCGTTTATAAAATATTTTGCATCCACACATAACCGAACATCTGCATTTTCAGTCCTCTGACGTCCTGCGTTGGGAAAAAAACAGAAGTGGGCGGAGCTTTGATGCAGACGCCGGTACTTCTGTAGCAGCACTTTTACGGTCACAGAAGAAACTCGGGGTGAAGTTTACAAGCACTGACCAATAATACTAATCCTGGTTTAGTCCTGGTTTAGTCCTGGATTAGTCCTGGTTTAGTCCTGGTTTAGTCCTGGTTTAATCCTGGATTAGTCCTGGTTTAGTCCTGGTTTAGTCCTGGTTTGGTTGTTTTCGAGCGTGAGTCCCTGTGATCACTTTGCTGATGTGGAGAAACAGTTTTGAAGGCAGTAAGATCCTTCTTCAGTGATCAGAGGTTGCATGTTTTGTTTGTTGTTGTTTTGGAGCAGACTGTGACGTGTGAAAACGCAAAACTCCGGTTATCTCGGTCCACAGCAAATGCATAAACAGAAAAGGAAGACAAATATCTGTGGTTTAGCAGAGACCCGGCTACGTGTGGACGGGGCCACAGACGCAGGTGAAACACATCAGGGCGGGGCAGACTATCAACAGGGGAACAGGAAGTCAAACTGAAACAGGGAAAATAAAACAAAGTAAAATAACACAAAATCCATGACATAACTTTGCTTTTCACTCCTTCTTTTTCGAATAAGATTGTTTGTCTCTTCTGTTATCCAGTTGTGAGGTTTCTGGAGAATTGTAGGTACACCAGACTTTGTAGCATTGTTTATTGCTTTTATGAATTTGTCATATTTTTCATTAATTGTATCTTCTTCCTTTAGTTGTTGTTGTTGCAAAGAAACCTCAAATTCATAATTGTATTTTCTTGCATATGCTTCATTTGAGAGTTTTGAGAAATCATATCAGACTGATTTCTCTTTACCTTTCAGTCGGGTCAATCTTATTGTGATCTTCATTTTAGCCTTGACAAGACAAGTCTTGTCTTCCCCTTGAGTGACATCCCTGTACCCAAGTGGCCTTTTTTATGTCTGAATATTGTTCACAACTGCTAATGCTACTAGGCAAGGCAAGTTTATTTGTATAGCAGAAACATACACAAGGCAACTCAAAGTGCAGAACAAAACAAGATAGCATTAAAATCATAAATAATCACAGAACATTAAAAAGAAAGATACAGATATAAATGATATAATCCCTCCGTTGTATGCACAGCTAAACAGAACCGATTTTAACCTGGATTTAACAACGGTCACACTTCCTCTCGGTCTGTGGCCTCTTCACACAGAACGGAAACAGGAGCCGTGGTTTTGAAGGAACCTTATATGGTTTCTTGTGTCCAACTCATTTTTCTGCAACACAATGTGATTTTTATCTGAATAATCTGCAGGTGAAATAAATACAAGGTTGACGTCGATGTGATGGCTGCAACTAAAGCAACTTCAAAGTTCAAAGTTATTTTATCGTCCCACGAGGGAGTCTGTTTCTCAGAAAGCAAACATCTAAAAACAGACAGAGTAAATCCACAATAACAGAGAAGGTAACAAGAACGCGAGAGGATGTCACAAAGCGAGATCCAGTGCAAATTTGCTGTAAAGTGATTCTATTTGTAAAAAGTGCTATGTACCCCGACAACACCGTTATGAACTCTGGAATGTCCATGTTGAAGCTGAAGTTGGCTGATCACCAGCTCCATTAGTGCCATACACAGAAGCATGTGACACACTCGTCTGTAAATACGAGTTCTATGCTTTTCTATGAGGTACAACAGTTCTGTATTGGCAGAGCTGAAGTTGGCTGGATGACACTGTGAACTTGTGTGTTTGATTTCAAAGGCCACATAACATAAGACAGAGGGCCACTTCTGTTCACCTTGTCCAGGGGTTTTTGAGTTTTAAAATGAGCTCACAGTAAGTAAGTAATCTTTATTTATATACCACCTTTTCACTGCACATCAGAGTCTCAAAGCGGTTTACAATTGTGATTTTTGGGAGAGGGGTCGCCAGTACAGGAGGCACATGCTAGACCTATTTAACATATTTTTAGTGGTAGGGCAAACCAGAGCACCCGGAGGAAACCTACGCAGACACGGAGAGAACATGCAAACTCCACTCAGAAAGGCCCTGGTCCGACCGGGATTTGAACCCAGGACCTTCTTGCTGAGAGTCAAGAGTGCTATCCACTCAGCCACCGTGCCACACTAGTCACTAGACCACAAAGAACTGGAGACTAAAACCAGACACACACACACACACACACGGCTCGCTCAGAGGAACACACATAAACACACACACACGGCTCGCTCAGAGGAACACACACACACGGCTCGCTCAGAGGAACACACACACGGCTCACTCAGAGGAACACACACACACGGCTCGCTCAGAGGAACACACACACGGCTCACTCAGAGGAAGACACACACACACACGGCTCGCTCAGAGGAACACACACACGGCCAGACTCAAAGATTTAAAGATGATGTTTGAGAAAAAGCTGCAAAATAAAACAACTCCACACAACTTGGATCAGTCCAGCAGAACCGGTTTAACCCCACAGGAAACCCCCATGTGTCACTCAGAGGCAGGATCCACTCTGAAAACACCAAGGTGCAGTTTGGAAACGCTGTGTCATTTTCTGCCCTTTATCAGTTTGCTTCTGGGCGGGGTGTGGCGATCAGAGCTGCACCCGAGTCTCAAAGCACCGGTCCCTCGCTGGTCCTGCAGGTCGAGGGTCCACAGGAAACACACTCATTTAAAGTGTTTTTCATTCAGAGACTCAGGCCCCGTCCACACGTAGCCGGGTCTCTGCTAAACCACAGATATTTGTCTTCCTTTGCACCTGTCATCCACATGACAACGCATCATAAACGAATATATAAAAAACCTCCGGGCAAAGTGAAGAAAAACTGTGTTTATGCATTTGCTGTGGACAGAGATAACCGGAGTTGTGCGTTTTCACACGTCACAGTCTGCTCCAAAACAACAACAAACAAAACATGCGACCTCTGATCACTGAAGAAGGATCTTACTGCCTTCAAAACTGTTCCTCCACATCAGAGAGCAGCAAAGTGATCACAGGGACTCACGCTCGAAAACAACCAAACCAGGACTAAACCAGGACTAAAACAGGACTAAAACAGGACTTAACCAAGACTAAACCAGGACTAAAACAGGACTAAACCAGGACTAAAACAGGTCTAAACCAGGACTAAAACAGGACTTAACCAAGACTAAACCAGGACTAAACCAAGACTAAACCAGGACTAAACTAGGACTAAAACAGGACTAAACCAGGACTAAACCTGGACCTGTTTCTTGCCGCTACAGAAGCACCGGCGTCAGCATCAAAGCTCCGCCCACTTCTATGTGTTTCCCCGACGCAGGACGTCAGAGACGCACATGTTTGGGATGTTAAGAATGTGTTTGAAAACCCAGATGTTTGGTTATGTGTGGATGTAAAATATTTTATAAACGGAGCGGGGGAAATATCTGATTTTCAAAATACACCTATGAACAGTGAGACGAGAAAGCCTGTCTAAACAAATGCGTCTTAGGTTGGGACTTAAAATCATAAACAGACTCTAACAAACGCAGAGGCTGAGGAAGCTCATTCCAAAGGCGAGGAGCCACTGCCTGGATCTGTCTCCTCGGGTTTTAAAGCCAGTGCGGGGGACCATCAACAGGTTCTGAGTGGAGGACCATCAACAGGTTCTGAGTGGAGGACCATCAACAGGTTCTGAGTGGAGGACCATCAACAGGTTCTGAGTGGAGGACCATCAACAGGTTCTGAGTGGAGGACCATCAACAGGTTCTGAGTGGAGGACCATCAACAGGTTCTGAGTGGAGGACCATCAACAGGTTCTGAGTGGAGGACCATCAACAGGTTCTGAGTGGAGGACCATCAACAGGTTCTGAGTGGAGGACCATCAACAGGTTCTGAGTGGAGGACCATCAACAGGTTCTGAGTGGAGGACCATCAACAGGTTCTGAGTGGAGGACCATCAACAGGTTCTGAGTGGAGGACCTCAGACTCCTGTTGGAGGGGGTGGATCAGGCCCTGGATGTATTCAGGCGCCTGACCATGAAGAGCCCTGAACGTCAACACCAGAATTTTAAAATTGATTCTGTGTGAGACAGGGAGCAGTAATACTACTACTACTACTACAGCTACTACAGTTACTACTACTACTACTACCACAGCTACTACAGTTACTACTACTACTACTACCACAGCTACTACAGTTACTACTACTACTACTACCACAGCTACTACAGTTACTACTACTACTACTACTACCACAGCTACTACAGTTACTACTACTACTACTACTACCACAGCTACTACAGTTACTACTACTACTACTACTACCACAGCTACTACAGTTACTACTACTACTACTACCACAGGTACTACAGTTACTACTACTACTACTACCACAGCTACTACAGTTACTACTACTACCACAGCTACTACAGTTACTACTACTACTACTACTACCACAGCTACTACAGTTACTACTACTACTACTGAATGAATGAATGAATGAATATTTTTTATTTAAGTGTCGTACACATACAGTATGTGCCCAGCCCTCATGGGCTTATATGACACTATCAACAGAAAGGAAGATAAAGCCACAAAACATACAGATGCAGTTACTCTCTCTCTGGATATAAAGTCCTTTGTCTCAATGTCCAAGCCTTTTCTACAAAATTTGCTACTGTAAAAAAATCATTTTCAAATATCCAACACAATCTATCACCATCAGAAAGCCAAAACAAATCAGGATTTTTACATTGAATATTTGTGAATAAAACCATTCTCAATGCATTGTACAAAGGACAGTAAAACAAAAAATGAAATTCATCCTCCACTACTCCCAGCTCACACAGAGCACACAGTCTACCATCTTGTGGAACCCCCTTGTAACGCCCCACCTCTACCTCCAGGGGCAGCACTCCTGCTCTGAGCTGAGCACACAGAGACCTCTGCCCTTTTCTCAGATTACATTTTACATATTTTTCTGTAGCAAAACAACTCTTAAACTGGACGTAAGTTCTGAGCTTGGTTTTTTGCAAAACTTTCACGTTCCATTCTTCCTCATAAATATCATTTAGCATTTGCCTTAGAGTTGTCAATTTACACTGTAGATTATTTTGAAATAAGTAATCCAATTCAACTTCTGACAATATCTGGAACACCTCTCTGGACCAAGGGTATCTGTGGCTTTTGTCCCAATTAAAAATCTTCCTTGTAATTCTGTCCTCTGGTACCTGAACAAGGCGGTTCCACAATCTGATCATCTCTACCTTCTGTTTGACTACACATGGTTCCCAACCCATATCACCCTCTATCGCCGCTCTGGGGGTAAACCTATGAACTCCTAGGAAATATCTCATGGCCCTGCCTTGTATATTATTACACTCTGGAGCCTCTCCAAAGCCCCAGACGCCTGCACTATAAAAGAGTATAGATCCCACCATTGAATCGAACAGTTGTGTATAAATAGTAAAACTTAAATCAGGAAAGATCTTCATCTTATTAATAACAGCGCCTAAGGCCCTCCCTGCAGACTCTGCTAGTATCTTTCTACCCTCCGAAAAACTCATGTTCTCATGAAAACCAAAGCCAAGATACTTATAGGTAACAGAATACATCAACCTTGTTTGACCAAAAGAAAATTCATAGTCACTTCGTGATACAGACGGTTTTCTAAAATGAACTATTTGAGTTTTTTCACAATTAATAGTTAATCTCCATTTGGAACACCACACATTCATAATATCCAACATTTTTTGCAGTTTTGTTTCTTCCTCTGCTATCAAGACAATATCATCAGCATATAATAAAATGCTGAGGTTAAAGTCATCAATAGCAATTCCCAAATTTGCTCTCTTTACCTCATGTGCCAAATCATTAACATAAAGAGCAAATAATGTTGGAGAGAGAGCGTCTC